TTAGATCAGAAACAGCTGAACCACAGGGGCAACCTGATCCCAAGACTCAACTGTTTAGCACCTGAAACAACTAAGGTGTGGGAGCAGGCTGCCCCCTCAGCAAAGCTGTTTCAGTCATGAACCTGGTTCGGTTCATATGTGAACTGACTGGGTTTGTGGTTCAACCATGAACAGAATGCCATTTCTGGGGTTCATGCCCATCCCTATTACTGACTACAGCACAATTCAAGCCCAAAGACTTACAAATTAATCTACCGTGTAATTTCATTTATGAGACTCTTGCTTGGTTCTAAGGTTCTTGAAAAAATGCTTAACTTACTAGGAGATTCATATTGGGATTGCTGATATTTGCTGGAGAAGAAAGCAGAAGCCTCATTGACTGGGATTCCCCCCCCCCCAATCTCCCACTTCAACCACTTCTTCTATTGGCTTGTAAGTCAATGGCGCACTGAACAAGATTACACTCAAGCTTCTGGCGTCAGTTTTATGGTTAATGAAAAGAGAAGCTTTAAGCTCAAGAGGTAGGAAAGTCACATTCACCAGTCACCAAATGCCCACACTGAACCTACAATTTTCCTCAGCAGAAATGCAAGTCCACCTGAATTTGAAACCAACCGTTAGCTGTGGGTTATACCAAAGAGTCTTCCCTTCCTCTTATGACCAGTGATCTAGTTAAAGATTTCTATGGCAAGCGAAAGGTTATCATTATGTTGGGGAGGGCTAGATGAGGTCATCTGTTTGTAAGCAATACTAACACACGACATGCATTCAAACAAAAGGATTTGCAACGTGAAACCCACCAGCCTTTGCCCTGTTTCCCATCATCATGTTTTGAAAAGGTGTGCTTTCAAAATGATTGAAAACCTTCCCATTGTTGTATTGTTTTCTCCACACAGGAACTTCCTCCTTGCCTATTTTGACATTAAGAAATTATTCCCACCATCTGCTCCTTTTCAGTAAAACTTAGCCTAGCTAAGGCTCACTTTTATGGCTAAACTGATTATTTTTAGCTTCTTATTCTAGGAAAAGGCCATGACTCAGTGGGTAAAGTCTTTTTTGCCTTTAGGTTGTACCTGAGACTCTGTACCTGAGACTCTGAACAGCCACTGCCCGTCAGAGCAGACAAAAATGACTTTGATAGATGAGTGACCTAAGTATAAGGCAATTCTATCTTTAACACCATTTTCTGTTCAGAACAGATGCTAAACTACGCAGCTTGTCATTTTCTGGGTCCCTTTAAAAAAAAAAATGGTGCAATACTATCTATAGAATGGGATCTTTCCATCAGATTCCTGAAGGTCTCATCCACAAACCTCTCTATCCATGGAAATCTTTAGTAAAAGGCGAAAGATTTATGCGATCTGAAGAGAAACCAGAGTATAACCTTTCTATCTGTCTTAGGTCTTGCAGAACAACCATCTTGGCTTTAAGGCAACTAACTTTCTTTGTAATAGCCAAAAGCTTGTTTGCACGAAGGGCACACCCATGATTGCAGGCCAGTAAGTTACTAGGGGTGTGCAAATTTTTAAAAAGTTGGTATTTTTCGACTTTGGGTATATCAGTCCTGAAAAATATTGGTAAATGTCAAATAGCCCCAGTCCAATATTGGACCAAGTATCAGGACTGGAGAAATATTCGGTATTCCCAAATATATATATTTGGGTCTGATATATCCAACAGGAGGGAAGGGAGGCATGTAAAAATGCCTTCTTTCCTGCTGGAAGCCCCTGCAGCTTTCCTTGTCAATTTCACTCCCCCACCAGTCAGCTGTTAGTTTTAAGCCATTTAAACTAAACAGCAGACTGGCCATGGGAGTGAAACTGACACGGGAAAGCCTCCTCTGACCCTGGGTAGCTAGAGAAGGGAAGGCAGGGAGCCCAGGCATGTTTCCATGCCTGCCCTTTGTTTCCGTAGTCTCCCCCCCACAGTGAGTTAGCAGGGGAAGCGAAGGGCAGGCATGGAAACACGCTTCCTTCCCTCCCTAAAAAAAGAAGGCATGTTTAGATGCCTTTCTTTCCCTCCCCAAGATCGGGGAGGGAAAGAAAGGCATTAGGGGTGTGCACACAAAAAAAAATATTTTTCAGGTTCAAGGTAAACCAAGCCCCAAAAAATCAGTATATACTGATATTCCCGAATCCCAATATCGGTGAGATACCAGAGTTCAGGAAAAATCAGTACTGCCGAATACATTCGGTGCCATTACACCCTATGGGGAAAGTGCCCATAGAGTATAATGGCACTGAAAGCTTTCCTTCCGCAGGCTCAACTTCTGGTCAGTTTCACTCCCCACCGATCAGCTGGGGAGTGAAATTGACCAGTACAAGCAGCTGGGGGGCTGAGGAAGGAAAGATGGGGCGGAGCAGTGTTCCCTCTAAGCTGTTAGTGTGAGCTAGCTCACAGTTTTTTAGCCTCAGGCTCACACATTTTTGTCTTAGCTCAGGAAATAAAACTATGCAGTAGCCAAATCGCTCCCTCACAACTTTAGTGCCAGTAGCTCACAAAGTAGAATTTTTGCTCAAAAGACTCCACAGCTTAGAGGGAGCATGGTTGGGGAGGAGGCATGTTTAAATGCCACCCCCTCCCCAGCCTGTCTGCCTCCCTAGACCAGCTTGCCCGGGCACCCTGTGGCCACGGCAAGCCCAGGGAAGGCAGTTTAAAGTGCCTTCCCCCCAAGGCTTGGCTTGCCTGGGCTCCCTGCAGCCGCAGAGTGCCCAGGCAAGCCAAGGGAAGGCAGTTTAAACTACCTTCCCCCCAAGGTTCAGCTTGCCTGGGTTCCCCACAGCCATGGGGGGCACAGGTAAGCTCAGTGAAGGCAGTTTAAACTACCTTCCCTCCAAGGCTTGGTTTGCCTGGGCTCCCTGTGGTCACGGGGTGCCCAGGCAAGCCAAGGGAAGGCAGTTTAAGATGTGGGGTGGGGCAGGGTGCCCGGGCAAGTTAAGGGAAGAAAGGGAAGGGAGAGCTGGTCAGTTTAACTGAAACTGACAGCTTCCCTATCCCTACCTGACTCCACCGAATAAAAGCCGAATAAGATCAGCTTTTATTTGGGAGGACGTTATCAGCCAGCCGAATCAGATTAGAGAATTTGGCTTAAATACCCAAAAAACACTGATAAGGTATTTTTCGGGTATTTTTTCAATTCGGCAAAGCCAAATGCATACCCCTAAAAGGCACTTAAACATGCCTGAGTTCTCTGCCTGCCCTTCTCCAGGGGCCCGTGGCTCTTCAGCTTGGAAACGGAGATGTGCACCACTTCCAACTTTATGGGGATTTTTTAAGGCAAAAGATGAGCAGAGGTGGTTTGCCATTGCTTCCCTCTGCATAGCAATCCTGGTCCTCCTTGGTTGTCTTAGTGGCTAGTCTGGGCTAATCAGGCCTATTGTTTTAGCATCAATGTATGTTTATCAGTCTTCTCTAGCCTCAGCTGCTTTGTTGTTGGGGTGTCAAGAGTGCCTTTCTGCTCAAAAGCTTTATCTCTCCTAGGGGGATGACCTTCCCTTCTTCCACTTTAAAAAATGAGTTGTGTGTAGTACTGTTGTTTGGGAAACATTCTGTCTTCAAGGCTGTGGGACGGCAAAAGCCCAAGCCAGCACCTTCAACAGAGGCTTCCAGGAAAGGTGTGCAGATGAACTGTATCTGCTTCAGAATAAACTGTTACAGGCAGGTGTTGTACTTTCTACGTCTGTAAATATGATTTCTGATTGTAGTTGAAGACTTTGTTCCTAAGGTGTGTTCTGAAGCTGATCACCTCTCCTTGTATGATTCTGTGTGGGGAAGCTGTTTTGGGGTAGCTTCCAAACATCCAGGTAGTTGAGAGCCTCCAGGAGAGGTGCTGGCCAAGACTACATGGAGACCCAAACTAGCAAACCCAGGTAACAGTCCAAGGGAGAGACCCAGGAAAGAGTCCAAGTTTGTTCAGCATATGCAACGCAGCAGGGCCTCAAGACCAGCTTTTTCAGTAGAGGACATAATGGGAACCACATGACGACTATACAGCTTTGAGCTGAGTCTCTGCAGCTTCTCCACAAATGTTCTGTGTAAAACCAGGAACATAATGGTTTCAACTTGGCACTAACTCATGTGGGATGTTAGTCCTCTATCAGCTTCTTTTTCCTATCGAGAATGTCTCCTAGGTCTGACTTGGCCCAGCAAGACCGAGTCTACAGTTCTGAAATCTGTCATTGATCCTGACCAATCTAATAACATTTTTCTATGATGTAATTTTTTCCTACTATAATATTGCCCTACCCTTCTTCCAAGGAACTCAAGAAAGCATACATAGTTTCCCTTCCCCATTTATCCTATGAGGTAAATTAGGCTGCAAGTGAGTGGGAGTCGCTCAAGACCTCCTGGTGAGGGGATATAGATGCACACACACACACCCTTTTAAACTCACTTTTCGATGATAAGGAGCTATTCTTAAGAACAGCCCTGGTTAAAGTGAACTCTTTAGTGAAGTGAAGCAAGGCCTACTCCTTTCTCTTAAAGCTAAGCTCTACGTGAAGTTATATATGAAGAGCAAGGTAGTAGCCTGAATGCTTGGCAGTTGCAGCAGCTGTAGTTACCCATCCTGCTTCCCCACCCAAAATACCTTGCAGTTTGGGAACTCATTCCTATGTATTAGCAAGACCTAACTTCAGCATATTAGTTTCCCCTTTATCCTAATTTTACCATTGTATTGAAAATTAGACCGTGTCCCCATATGATGTTTCGATAGGGAACCCACTGCGATAGTATACCAATGTGTTTGTCCCATTCAGATAATCTTTTCTTTACGATAGCAAACAGGTAATTTTTGTCACAAGTCTGTGGACTTGTGCTATGACCTGACAAGTTGGAACCTAAAACCACTGTCACAACAGGGCTGGGTATTACACACACATTTCTAAGCTGCCTTTAGTTAACTACTGGTATTGATTCAGGAAGAGTGCAACTTGTACTATGCCACCTTGAGGAGAAAAAGGATTAAAATTATTGTTCCCATCTTGGCTTTCTATTCCCAGCTGTCCAGATCCACATCCTAAAAGCAGACAAGGCAGGAGAATGGTGGAAGTTTACAGTCAATATCATCTCTGTGTACAAGCAAGGGACAAACCGGATACGGCGTGGTGACCAGATCCTCTGGATACGCTCCAAGGACGTTGCCTGCAAGTGCCCCAAAATCAAACCTATGAAGAAATACTTGCTGCTGGGACATGATGAGGACTCTCCAGACCAGAATGGCATTGTGGCGGACAAAAGCAGCCTTGTGATACAGTGGAGAGACACATGGGCTAGGCGGCTGAGGAAGTTCCAGCAACGGGAAAAGAAGGGGAAGTGCAAGAAAGCTTAGGGCGTGATAGAGATGTGAAGAGAGACTGCACACACTGCTTGGGTAGGACTTGGAGCAGGTGGGGTGGGATTAGGGACACTGGCAAGAAATTCACTTTGCAGTATATGAATGACTGGGGTGGGAGGGTGAAGGAGGGATTAATAACTTTTTTGAGACATGCCAGCTTTATACCTCATACTACAGAATCTCCCCTCCCCCCAAATACTGGAGAGAGAAAACATGTTTAGAGAAGGAGGGCTATGTGAGACCTTACTCACCATAGTAGCAAGTGTTAGCTCAGTTACTAGTTTGCATCATCCTCTTTGATTTTCCTTCTCTCTCCCCCCCCCAATCAAAGGTGTGACCAACTGCCTTAATTTTGCTAACATCAACTAGTTCCAAAGTCCAGACACAAAAACAACCCACATTGTTTATGAAACAAAAATTATAAACAACGATTATGTTGGAAATACATTTTTCAAAAGATTAAATCTGCTACCGTAGTTATTGCTAGGAAGCACGGAGGATAGGGAGATTGACTTGAAACAGATTACTGGAGATCAGCTGATCAAGGCAGCCTGAGTTCCTCTTCCATTACCCATCTCACACATCTTACTGACTGGATCAGGTTTTTTAAAAGGATGCCTGTGAAAGAATGTTTAGCCATAAGCAATGACATCCCACTTACCCTAACTGCAGGGCACTTACTGGAAGGTAACTGAGGAATGCCCTTTCTGGGAAATGCAGCCCTCAGCTGAAGTCTTGTTGCCTGATTCAATCAAGCACAGCAATCTGCTAAGGAAAGACAGCTGAGTACACAGAGGTTTGAAAAAGGAGAAGGACATGGAGATGGCAGGGGTCATTTCGTAGAAAAAGAGCTAGGGGGACTCATTAGCATAACTCATTAGCATATGCCACACCCCCTGACATCACCGGAAGTGTGTCCTCCCCACAGCCGGCAGCGATCTCCAGTGGGCACCAGCAGGGAGCTCCAGGCCCCGCCCTCCCGCACCTCACCCGGGGGGATGGCGTCCCACCGCGTCCCCCCCCCAAATGACCCCTGGGAGATGGTATCTGTGCAGCATATTCACTTACTTCCAGTGTCTGGAAACACCACTTCCCATCTAGTGGAAGACCAACTAGCAGTCCTCGATTTGTGAATATGACCTTTCCCATAGACCACTGGATTTTTTAAAAAAACGCTTTCACCAATACATGAAAAACCTGCAATGTTATTAGCTGCGAACCCCAACTAGACTGGACCTTCTCCAATAATCTCTACCTATAGAAAGCAAATGTGACATTGGTGAGATCCCATACAAACTTTTCATCCAAGACGCCACGCAAGAAACTCCATCATCCATACCTTAGGGGAATAAAGTCTAACCAGAGCAAGGAAACATCATCACTGCAGAGAGATGATTTGCTACACCTTCTGCATTTTTGTGTCACTATAGCAACAGCCATTCTTACCTCAGAGCAAGAGCCACATAGCGCTTCCTCCTGTACCAGGAAGATGTCAGGAAGGAGACAAGCTTACATGTTGGTGCTGTCTGGAGTAACTGAATTGACCTCTGCTGCAGGGCAGAGAAAAAAGTACAACAAAAACCTACCAGTTCTTACACAGAACAGAGATTTATATCCAATCACATAAATTGTCTACATAAAAGCCTGCTGTGGCTTTTGATTTCATCCTAATAAATGTGGGGATTGATAGGTTTCTTCCACGAAGGAGTCGCCCCCCCCTTCCTTGTAGCAGCTCTTGTAAATATCTGCTTTTCTTGAAGCTGGAGGGTGGGCTCTCACTTCCCTTTTAGGTTCATAAGAGGTGAAGGAGATTTTTGTTCCTAATGATGCAGATCTCCCCCTGGACCTGTAAACTAGCAAACCAGGAAGACTGTCTGGGCAGGCAGTTCACGTGTGAGCTCAGGGATGCCTGTCCTTTAAAATCCAAACTTCCAAGAGATGCTTCCTATTAGGAAACTTGGAAACATCTTTTTAATGACATTTCCAGTGGTTTTGCCTTGTTTTATGACAATATTTATATAATGACATAAACTATCATAAAACAAACTGCAGCACAAATAGGTGTAAAGTGGCCAAATGCCAGAGAAGTGGAGGGTGGGTGGGTGGGTGAGGAGTCACGATCCTGGCTAGGGCTAAGAAGTGCTCTGATTCAACGGCTCTGTACACTGCAGAGTTTCAAGGCTTTCACTTCTTTTTACTTGCTTAGTTGCTGAAAGGGAAAAAAATATACACAGTATTATCTTGGCTGAGATGCAGTTATCAACATAGTCAATATGAGAGCTCATCTGAGACCTAGTGGCACAGAGGAAACTAGTTCGCCTAGTGATAAGGAGCAAAAAGGGCTAATATGACCTTCACTCAGTACTGAGTTGCATCACAGATGCCTCCTGCATCAGCTGATCCACATATGCTACAGAATGAAACAGAGTGGGGGGGGCAAATATCTTGTGTACTGTTTCAGACCTCATACGGCAGGAGGGGTTCACATAATTGAATATTAACCTGCATTAAGTATTCCTTGAAATTAAAATAGTACAACAGGGACCAGATCAAGCTACAGTCCCCCCCCCCAACATGCTAGGTTTCTTTGTGCTTGTTACATGGCTCAGTGCTCATAAATGGCATACTCCACTTGCAGTGTTAAGTCGTACAGTCCACCTACTAAGGATTTTAACATCTTATTCTGCTGTATGTGTTGTCCATGCAAGAGTCTTTCCTTTAAGGGTTGTCGCTCTCCATGTCAGTGGTTTTCAAACCTCTTATGGATAGAATATCAGTTCTGTATTGATTTGTCTGCTAAGGAATCCCTGTGAGAATAAGGCATTCTGGAGTGCAGCATAGGGTGTATACACTTTATATGGAACACCTGTCAAGAATTCAGGGTCCAGTAGAACATAATCCACATTCTTCATTGTACTATATAGGAATACTATCAGTCATTACTGGTCTTATTATCAAGGAGCCACAGGATTCTACAGAAGAGAATTTGAAAACCATTACTACATATGAACAAAAGTTTTTTCATCAAAGTCCTAAAACCTTGTTATTCCAGCAACGTGGAGGGAAAATGTATGAAAGGAGCTTCAATGTCACTACTTTCAATGTTTGCAAAAACAAAACAACAAAAACTAAGAAAAGATACTCGATAGGATCAGTTTAAATCGTGCAAATCCAGACCAGACCAGACCAGACCAGACCAGACCAGACCAGACTGGAGTTATAGCCACCACAACAGGTGACAAAATGCCCTAAATTGCTTTTTTTTTTTGGTTGAAAACTGAAAGTTATGACCAAGACCAAGGGCATTTGAAGTTAGCCCCTGAGATTATACTGGTTACTTTGTGATGAAAGAGAAAGAGGACAAAATAGAGTTCTTCAGAAGCAATACTGACTTCAAGCATTGGTAGTGAAGCCCGTGATCTAATTAAGTTCCATGCTCCCCTGCCCCACCAACCAAAAATTTCTGGCTACGGGCCTGTTGGCAGTTGTTCCATGATGGGATCTTGGGCCCAGTTAAAAGCTATTCTCTCCCCCACCCCATTTTGTGACATATCAAGTGTTGTCTACAGGATTTCCCCACCCCCCAAATTGGTCATGCTTGCCATGTGATGTGAGACAGCCAGTCTAGTATCTAACACCTCCACCTCAGTGGCATTGCCCAGAGAAAATTAGGCAAGAAACTAACACTGTAACCTTTGAGCACCTTAAGAGGGGAATCTAGTAGGGTTCTGCATTCTGCTGTTCGTGCAGCACAGCCCTTTGCATCCATTCAACACAACACTAATTCTGCTGTCTTGATCAGAAAAGCAACAAATGAAGAGAGAGAGAAGATCTGAAGAACTGGTTCTCTTCAAGGTTTTGCCAAGACATAGACACCCAGTTCATTACAATTCTCATTCTAATATTGCGTTCATCAGAGTCAGTGGAGCAATGTTCACAGTGTCCTAGAGGAAGCTCTCAGTGAGCTCTAGGCTTAAGAGCTGTTAAAGCCTTCTGCAGAAAAGGAAACTTATTCAGGGTTAATATATATGTATAGAATGTTTCTGTGGAATTGGAACATCTACAGTGATTCGGAATGTAGACTGATCATGGACATAAATAAATGTGGTGAGACAGCTAAATCTCTATGGAACATTGCTGTAATTGAAGCACTTGGCTCTAAAGTTGAGCCAAAACCATCTGTTCAGTTTCATTTTCACTATCTTCACTCTTTTTGGGACTGTCAAGTGCCTGTTCAAAATTTAATCAATTTGTTGACGTCTCAGATACTAATGATAGTGCAAGTAGAGCAGCACCCCAAAAAATTAAAGGCTAATTTTTAAGGCTTTGCAGCCCTTGAGTAAGCCCAGAAGACACAAGGTTGTTACCAGTCAAATATGCTGCAGGAAGGGCCTATAAGGAGTATAAAGAATATCCACTTAACCTGTTGCTAAGTTGCTAACAGCTGGCTTGCTCCTAGGTCTTGGAAGCTTCCTTAAACTGTTAGCTGCGTGTCCAGTAGCACCTTAAGGACCAACAAGATTCTGGGAGTATAAGACTTCTAGAATCAGAGCTTCCTTTGCCAGATACAAGTTCGAATGGAGATCTCAGAAGATGGCAGTGGTGTTGCAAAGAAGGAACTCAGGATGCAGAGGTACAGTCCACATTGATTAGATTATAGGGGAAATGCTCGGGGGACAGAAAATTAGCATCATGGTCTAGGCTCAGAGGCTGCACCATTTTGTGGGTGTTGAAAATCATTCTTCGGAAGCTTTTGTTGAATTAATGCCTGAACTGTCACTGGTCCCCAAGCCTTAGATGTCAAGTACAGAAACACTTCAGGCTTTTGTGTAATTTGCTGAACTAAAGGCTTTCTAACCCTTGAGCACTGAAAATTTAATCCAAAAATTGAAACACATGAATCTCAGCCCTATTTGGTTCTCTTTGACATAAGCCTCTGTTTGGGTTTCCTAGTAAGCGGAATGCTTTAGCTACAAAAAGCCTGTTCTCAATCC